AAGCCGGTCCCCCCGAGGCTGCTCCCTTGGGCTGGGCCAGGCGGCCACAGACTCCTGCGGGCTGAGGACAATGCTCCGGTGGCGCCAAGGGCTCTCCAGAGGTGCTGGAGGATGGCGCAGGGGACTTGCCCCGGGCTTGGGGGGGGTGGGGCTCAGAGCGTGGGGTCTGCTGGACAGAAGGCTCCTCTGTAAGGGGGATGCTGCTCTCCCCCAGCACTAGGCCCCGTTGGAGCCAGGCACACACCCAGCCTCCCACAGCGGCGTCACTGCTCCCATGTTACGCTGGGAAATGGAGACCCCCTGAGCTGAAACAAGGGTCCACAACCGGGGAGAACTTGGGGAGTGTCTGCCGAGCCCAGCGGGGTGCACAGAGCTTTAGGTTCCTGCCCTCTACCGCTGGGCGCACACTGCCCCGGTGGGGCCTTACGCCTGCCCCTCAGCCCGTCTCTCTGTCCCCAGCTGGGCGGTGGGGAACTGGTCAGAATGCAGCCGGAGCTGCAACGGGGGCATCCGCACCCGCAGCGTCGCCTGCCAGAGGAAGGTCTCTGCGGCCGAGGAGAAAACCCTGGACGACAGCGCCTGCGCCCAGCCCCGGCCCACGATGCACGAGCCCTGCAATAACCAGACATGCCCCCCGCAATGGGCAGCCCTGGACTGGTCAGAGGTAAGGGCCCGTCTCCGGCAGGACACGGGGGTTCCCGGGGGCTGAGCTCTGGCCCACGATGCACGAGCCCTGCAATAACCAGACATGCCCCCCGCAATGGGCAGCCCTGGACTGGTCAGAGGTAAGGGCCCGTCTCCGGCAGGACACGGGGGTTCCCGGGGGCTGAGCTCTGGCCCACGATGCACGAGCCCCGCAATAACCAGACATGCCCCTGGTCAGAGGGAAGGGCCCGTGGGAGCAGAGGTGACAGGACGCGGGGGCTCCCGGGGGCTGAGCCGCAGCAGCAGCCGGCAGGGAGCTAGTGAGAAGCTGGCAGGGCCCTGGGTTGCCATAGGACTGGGCCCGTGAGAAATGTTCCGTTACTTTCCCTGTGGCTGCAGGGCACCACTTCACATTGCACTTGCAGGGGGGCAACTTGAACCATGACTCCAGGGTGACATGGCAACGTGAAAACTCCCCTCTTCTGGCAGGTCATTTAGCAATGAGCAGGCAGGAGCCTGGAGGATCTAGTTCCTATAGAAGAGACAAACCAGCGATAGTCCCGCTGGGCTCTAACAGCAGCACATTCCGACACCTTGGTACTGGCCCCGCGGGGAGAGAGACCCCGTCCCACCTCCTGGAGTATTGCATCCAATGCCAGGCCCTGTGGACGCATTGGAGAGGGTCCGGCGGGGAGCAATGAAAATGCTGAGGAGGCTGGAGCACATGACCTACGAGGAGCGGCTGAGGGATTTGGGTTTGTTCAGTCTGCAGAAGAGCAGAGTGAGGGGGGAAAGAGGATGGAGAGAGGCTGTTCTCAGTGGGGGCAGGTGGCAGAACAAGGAGCAATGGGCTCAAGTTGCAGTGGGAGAGGTCCTGGTTGGATATTAGGAAAAACTATTTCACTAGGAGAGTGGTGAAGCACTGGAATGGGTTACCTAGGGAAGTCGTGGAGTCTCCATCCCTAGGGGTGTTTCAGTCTCGGCTTGACAAAGCCCTGGCCTGGTTGATCTAGTTGGGATTGGTCCTGCCTAGAGCAGGGGGCTGGACTTGACCTTCTGAGGTCTCTTCCCGTTCTATGGTTCTAAGATGTGCAATATCAGCATACATCTTTGTGTAGTCCAGGCTATAGAGGTTTTGAAATCCCAGCATGACCCAGCCCTGGCTGGGCTGATTGAGTTGGGCTGGTCCAGCTTTGGGCCAGGGGCTGGACTCGATGGCTCCTGAGGTCTCTGCCCGCCCGGGGTTCTATTCAGAAGCAGCGCCACCCCTGGAATCCTTTGGGTTGTCTTCCTCTGTGTCTTTTCCAGTTCTGACAGCCTCTGTGCCGGGAGGGCCAAGCCATGGGCTTCAAACCCTGACCGATAAGCCAGTGTTAAGGCAGAGTTGGGAGAGCGAAGGTAGCTCAAAGGCTCAGTATGTCCCGGGCCTGTTATGGAGGCTCAGAAGGGCAGAGGCAGCCAAGAGGCAGGCGTGCTGCTTAGTGACTTGTCTCAGCACGGGACAATGCCAAGGAACCCAGCGATGGCGTTAGCAGAGGTGCGCAGCAGCGGCCCCGCAGGCTCTGTGTGTGGCCAGCGAGACGTTTTCGGCTGGTTTCTATGTGGTGCCACTGAAGTGTCCTGCATGTGGAGCCAGGGAGGTGCCTGCTGGCCACACACAACATGGCTTGTGGGAGCCAGGCGCCCCCCCT